TCAATATGAATTATAAACTCTTTAGCCAACAAATAATGTTGCCAAGTCTCTAATGTACGAACCACAGCATAGAGTTCCTTGTCATAAGTAGGATAATTAAGACAAGCTCCATTTAACTTTTCACTAAAGAAAACTATAGCACGTTTATGTTGCATTAAAACAGCACCAATACCAATGCCAGAAGCATCAAATTCTAACTTAAATATTTTGTTAAAATCAGGCAATGCTAAAACAGGGGCACTAGAAAGGTCTCGTTTTAAGTCATTAAAAGCTTTCTCTTTGGCTGGTCCCCAAACAAATTTAACTTCCTTTTTAACCAACTCATTTAAAGGGGCAGCTTTAGTCGAAAATTTTTTAACAAACCTTCTATAAAAACTAGCCAAACCATGAAAAGATCTCACTTGTGTCACGTTGGTTGGTGTAGGCCAATCCTTAATAGCTTGTATTTTAGATTCATCAACATGAATTCCTTTTGCACTAACAACAAAACCAAGAAACACAACTTTATTTACACAAGATGAACATTTAGGCATGTTAGCATAAAGTTTCTCTTCTCTCAATGTTTGCAAAACGATTCTCACATGTTCAACATGTTCTTGTCAGTTTTTAGAATACACTAAGGCTCTGTTCGTTTGCATGGCATTGGGGGCTTGGATTTGGAATTTGAGCCTCCAATGCCAAATCCGGCATTTGGCTTATAAAAAAAAGTATGGAATTGGCATTCGTCTAATGCTAAAAGACTTCCAATGTCACAATTTTAATTCCGGGCTTGAAGTTATTATTTGGGATTCCAAAATTCCGTGGAGTTGAGCCAAATGCGAGTCTTTTCGAGTTTTTTAAATTAAAATCCGGGTTCGGGTCCTTTTTTATTAGCTTTTTACTGTACATTGAATTCTTTTTCCACTCTCTTCGCGTTCCCATTTCAGACTTTCTCCTCCACTCTTTCTCCTCCGTTAATCTGTATAATCTTCGGCGACTCCATTAATTGTAACAAATTTGCGACGGCGACGACGAAGAAGAAGGAGGCGGCGACACGGTTTCTTGGTAATTTTTTTATTTTTGATCTTTTTCTTCCTTTTGGGTAGATAGGGTTTGCTGCTTATCAATTCATTTAGATCTTCTTCTGATGCTTGGATTTTCAATCAAAATTTTCTTATTTCAGCATGGATCTGACTGAATTTTTTGTGGGTTTTGATTATTAAGTCGAATTCCAACTGGGTTTGCTTCTCCGCAGGCTTACTCGGTTCTGTTTCTCAACAACATAGTCCACCGACTTCTCTTCTCCGGCGTCCGCCTCCAAGTCCGGCGCGCAAAGGGACTTCAGCTAGGAGAATTATGCTTTGAGGATAGTAACTGCGGTGCAGGGCTACATTGCGATAGCTGTCACACAGCTGACGGTGTTACTCGTTGCACTCGAATTAAACCAGTGGATCCTTTCTCAAGGGTGAAATTCTGCTATCTTATGTGTTCACTTCGTTTTATGTGAATTTCGTATGTATTTTCCTTGTTCTGTCATTCTATGTGTATTTAAATGGGTGTGGGTGTTCTGCTCTGATGAAAAATGCAGGTCTTCGGTCTGCCGTTTAATCGGTATGCGTGGCTAACAATAATTCGTTTGCTGGGAGATTGCCACTGGAACCGATACCGAAGCTCTTATTTTAGCTCAGAGGAATCAATAGGACCCAATACCTAGTCAACTCAATCTAAGACAATTCTTCTGATTTTCTCCGCTATTTGACATAATCACGCACTTTCTTTCTGAACCTGCTGGTTGCACAACTTAAAAATACACATATATCTCTCTGTACTTAGACGTGAAGTACTAACGTTTAGATTGGAATTGGTGTGATGAATTTTTCCTCTGCTAATGTTTGGCTGGCTGCTATAATAGTGCATTAGTACTCCGTTATCAATGTTGGGTGCTGGAGGTTATTGATGTTTGGACTTCTGAGAATCAAATCATTTAGGTTCCACATGTTTCAATGCTGTCATTAAATGTCAGTTACTGTTGAATGCCATTATATGGTAAGCAAATTGAAGCTTCTTTAAATGCTTGTGCAAGATGTGATCCATGTAAAGATTTCCTTCTTCTAATTTCTGGCTTCTGGTGTACAAATATAAGTTTACATAATTGAAATCTCTTTTAGGAAAGCTACATGGACTCGTCTGTACACTTTACTCCTTCGATTCATGCTACTGGTGTTGACGGATAACCAAATGGTGTAGTTTCTTATAGGAAATGTTAGTTTAAAGTATAGCACATTACTGCTGTTGCTCTCTTGTTGATTGGTATGGACATGATGCAGCTTAATTTATTTTGGTCAAACACTCATACCAAACTGAACAAGATCCAAAGGCTGAGAAATGTTTTCACTTAATTTTTATAAACTTAAGCTAATTTTAGGCTTACCCCAAAGTTTATAGGAGACCATCTGGTCATTAGCATAGTACTGATTTTTTCCTAAACCGAGACCTCAGTTTTTAGTAGCTCTTACACAAATAACCTCAGTTATGCACTTTCCTCTTGAAACTGTGCTTGTTTGCTTGCACAAGCCTGAAAGATATTGATTCTAAGTTTCTGGAACTCTTACTCATATGCTTAAAGTTTTTATTCAAATGTAGTTTAGGCTCTACTTAGCAACTGACTTGTGTGAATACTCAATCATGCACTGTAAGAACATTATCGGTTGTTCTAGATGCTGCTTTTGTCGTGATTGCCATTTATGTGAAAGACAAAATGGAAAGAACTGCTGCTTCTGTCTGTAAAATTTGCCATGTTGGTTGAATTATTTTGGTTTAAAAAAACAAGGCTATTGTTGGGAGGCAGAGGGAGTCTAATACATGATTCTTGATGTCTTTAACGTTCATTCACTCAGAATTTAAAATGCAACTCATCATTATATTTTACAGATCAAATTTGTTCACATTTTCCATTTCTGGTGCAGAATGGTGTCAGGGGATTGATAATCGACTTGTATGACTTTGAGGATGACATTTGGTTTTGCCACTCCTTTGGTGGTGGTACCTGCTACAATTACACAGCCGTTGTAAGTGCAGTGTCTTAAATTCAACTTTACACACTATAAAAAATGTCATTCTTGGTGCATTCTACCTGACCAGCTTATGTTACATTCCCTTTCCTCATATAGCCTTAAAGAAAAGTAAATACGATTTATCTCTGAAATTCCCTGCATTGCCAGATTTATTTTGTAGAACTTGCTCACAAAGACACCTTAAGGGTGGTTCTTAACTATAGTGAATTAAGTAGTTTTACAATCTACTGATTGCACAATTTCATAATATAATATAATATCATCTAATTCTCAGGAACCAGTTATTCATGTCTTTAACAAGGTTCGAGAGTTTCTGGAAGCAAATCCCTATGAAATTCTCACAATCATGATTGAAGACTATGTTACGTCCCCCAATGGTCTTACTAAAGTCTTTGACGCTGCTGGTCTGAGAAAATTCTGGTTCCCGGTGTCAAGGATGCCCAAATATGGTGGAGATTGGCCAACAGTAGATGATATGATTGAGAAGAATCAGCGCTTGGTAGTTTTCATATCAAACTCTTCCAAGGAAGTAACTGAGGGCATTGCTTATCAGTCGAAATAATTTCAAAATAAATTAATTTTTTCTTTTTTTTTTATTTTTGTAAAAAATAAGCAAAAGCCAAAACCAACCCAATTACTAGAGTATACAAACAGAGAATTTGGAATCCCAAATGAATTTGTAACCAATTCCATGATTTTGCCGAACGGATAAATTGGCATTGAATTAGAATATTTTAAATGCCAATTGAAGCCCAAAATATTCTAATGCCAATCGAATCCCAAAAACATGTAGCCGAACACACCCTAAAATATTGTCAAAGTACACAACAAACTTACCAATATAATGCCTCAAAACATGATTCATTAATCTCATGAAAGTACTAGGAGCATTAGTTAACCCAAAAGGCATCACTAACCACTCGTACAAACTAGATTTTGTTTTGAAAGCAGTTTTTCATTCATCTCCTTATCTAACTCTTATCTGATGGTAGCCAAATTTTAAATCCACTTTAGAAAAGATAGTAGCACCATAAAGATCTTCAAGCATATCATCTAATCTAGGGATTGGATGTCTATACTTAATAGTTATCTTATTAACAGCACGACAATCTATGCACATACGTCACGTACCATCTTTCTTAGGCATAAGTAAAACAGGAACAACACAAGGGCTGAGAGATTCTCGAATTTGACCTTTAGCAAGGAGTTCTTCAACTTGCTTTTGTAATTCCTTTGTTTCCTCAGGATTTCTCTATAGGTAGGTCTATTCGGGATGACTGCGCCAGGAATTAGATCAATTTGATGTTCTATTCCTTGTATAGGAGGAAGTTCATTAGGCAACTCCTCAGGGAATATATCCTCGTACTCTTGAAGTAACCTTTGAAACACCTTAGGCAAATTGCTAGGAACTTCGGTTAGTAAAACAAAATTATCACGAAAAAGCATTAAAATCATACCTGTTCCTTTTGAAAAACACTTCTCCACCGATTTGGGACTAGCGAAGAAATTTTTGTCCACTGGCTCTCGAATGTGTAGACCATTTGAAGATCTCTTTGGAACGTCCAAAGTAGATTCCTCTTTAGGACTCTGCTTTTTCATTCGTCTCTCTCTCTCTTGAATCATTCTCAGGTTACATTCTTGAACTTGAGGAGGTGAAAGAGGTGTCAGGGTATAGTTACGACCATTCATCATAAACGAATACTTGTTTGTGTATCCATCATGCTTTACTCTTCGATCATACCCCCATGGTCGTCCTAAAAGTAGGTTGCTTGCCTCCATAGGTACCACATCACAAAGTATTTCATCCTCATATTTTCCAATAGAGAATGGCACATTCACTTGCTAGTGACTCTAAGATTTCCACAATCATCCGAAATATTATCCTTTAAAGAGATAAAAGTCTTCTCTTTCAAAGAGATAAAATTTGAATGATCTTACCCCTAAACTTTAGGGAGCAATTCGACCAACATGAGGAGATGTGGCCGGCGGTCCCTTTGAGGATTGAGGGCCGAAATTCTTCTCTCCAAATGGGCTATGTCCATTTGGTGTTACTTGCAACAAATTAATAGTCTTGGGCTTGTAATCATCAAGCTTAATTTCCTCCTTAGCCCATGTAGTAACAATTAGACTATTAAGTGATTCATTCATCCTCTTGCGTCTAGCATGATTCATTGGTCCAACAATGTTTGAGAGTGGATCACAGATGTAAGGATTATTCTTTAAAGCAGCATCTTTAGATCCTCCATTAGCATTCACGACCTCAACTTGCTCGTCCTCTCCATTATTGGCAGCAACATGTCCCTCTCCATTAGTGTTAGCTAGATGGTCTCCATCATCTCTCGAAAATCAAACTGATAATAGAAACTGATATGATAATATCAATTAACACCATCACTAAGATAATCCAAACTCCGATACCAAGAAACTGATAGCAATCTCGTAGATGAAGCAAATTTCGTTAATGCAACCATCAAACAAGAAAGTACGAAGATAATTTGTCTATCCAATGAAACTCAAAAGAGTGCGAAAAATTCACAGTAAGACAATCGTTTATCTAAGTGATTTCTCAAACCAAGCAAAGAACACATTATCCATGAAAGATTTGAATTAAACAACAACCCATACTAAGAATAGCAAGGACACCATTCAATATACTAGATCAGTCATCATTCAAGAGACTCAAGAAATGTACGAGCAAACAATGCTCAACTATGAAGGAATACTATTGATTAGTAATCTCCATAACCAACAAAGATATGCAACACATACACTATCTCAAAATACTTATGCCAAAGCACAAGTCATCCAACAAAAGTAGGACAAACCCCACAATGGAACTCATGAACACACACATCATGAATTCGAACACCAAGCCAAAAGAAAGGCTCATCAATCGAACTACTAGAAGTAGTATGAAAATAAGAAGTTTTGTTTTAAAACAATTCTATCAAGAAGCATACTTGAAAAAGAACGGTTTCTGCAAGATCAAAAGATCCAAGACAAGATGAAAACCCTCTTGGTTAAATCATACTTGACACGAAAAATGGACACTCCATTTAACAAAAATTCCTCACAGGAAAAACTCTCAAAAGAGACAACAAAAATGACCACTCAAGGGTGCTTTTGATTTTCGGCCATGCCCCCTATTTACAGGCTTAGGAAATTCGGCCAGCACCTTAAAAAGAAGATCAACTAGGACTCTCTAATCTTATCTCACAAGGAGTAGAAGTAGAAGAGTATTTGATCTCTTTGACTCTATCTAAAATCTAGGAAACCTTATCTAAATGACTTATCCTCAATGAGGATAATATCTAGAAGGAATCTAAGGCTCCTAATGAAAACACTCTAGCTTTATTCAGCCCACATGGCTTATCTAACTAGAAAAAACTCGAAAATGACTCCTAGATTTAGACTAACTCTAATCTCGAAATTTAGCTCCAAATTATTGAAGTAAAATGTCTTGAACGCCCTTCCAAAAGTGTCTTGTGCCCCATAAGTTGTTAAAAACTCTAATTTACTCCAAAACTTGTGGAATTCTCTTTATTGACTCCAAAAGATTGGAAAAACACTTGAAACAATTAAGATAGTTTGCAACCTATCCAATTGTGTAGCAATGGACTCAATCTTGAACACTTTGATCAAATAGGCCGTCCATTCAAGAACCTAAATGACTCTTCTCACTAGCTTGATCAATGATCTTCATGGAGCACCTAGAGTCAAACTCTCTTGATACTCTTGGGCACTTATTTCCATGAGATCATCATCTCCTTTGGTTTGAACCCCAAAGTTAATGACGTTCTCATCACCTTGATCATAGCTCTTTTGAACCAACTCCCTATCACATAGGCAGTCAAGATCCATCCTTTCTTCCTTGATTGGCCTGCAAAGTAAACTTGGCATTCCAAAACTAGAATGAAGGACTAGTTCATTCCCCTCACTAGGAGAATCACCATGGAAGGCTATATGATTCTCATCACGTACATGCAAGATTACAGAGCCATAGGCATGTGTTTGTTCATTCCATTTGGGCTTGAAGTCATTCATTATAATATCTTATAAGTTAGAGCAAGGTTTGGAGCCATTCCGATGTACGAGATGAGACTTGTCCCCGTGGGCCATTAAGATAGCTTGAAACCATACATGTGAGTTTGAGGAGCCATAGGCATGTGTTTATTCCCTCAATTTGGGTTTGAAATCATTCATTATATCTTATAAGTTCTACCAAGGTTTCGAGCCAATCTGATTTACGAGATGAGCTTTGTCCATATGGGCCATTAGGATAGCCTCAAACCATACATGTGGGTTTACGGAGCCCTAGGCTTTTGTTAGTTAAATTCATTTGTGCTTGTAATCATTCATTATATATCTTATAAGGTATGCCAAGGTTTGGAGCCATTTCAATGTACGAGCTGAGACTTGTCCATATGGGCCATTAGGATTGCTTGAAACAGTACATGTGGGATTACAGAGCCATTGGCATGTGTTTGTTCCCTCCATTTGGGCTTAAAATCATTCATTATAACACTTATAAATGTTGCCACGGTTTGGAGGCAATTCGATGTACAAGATGAGACTTGTCCATAGGGGCCGTTAGGATAGCTTGAAACCACACATGTGGCTTTACGTAGCCATAGGCATGTGTTTGTTCAATCCCTTTCTGCTTGTAATCATTCATTATATATCTCATAAGTTATGCCCTGATTTGGGGTCTTTTCGATGCACGAGATGAGACTTGTCCATTTGGGCCATTAGGATTGTTTTAAACCGTACATGTGGGATTACAGAGCCATAGGCATCTGTTTGTTCACTCCATTTGGGCTTAAAATCATTCATTATATATCTTGGAAGTCAAACCAATGTTTGGAGCCATACCGATGTACGAGATGAGACTTATCTCTATGGGCCATTAGCTGATAGCAATCTCGTAGATGAAGCAAAATTCGTTAATGCAACAATCAAACAAGAAAGTACGAAGATAATTTGTCTATTCCATGAAACTCAAAAGAGTGCGGAAAATTCACCATAAGACGATCGTTTATCTAAGAAATTCTATCTCTTAACTCAAACCAAGCAAAAAACACATTATCTATGAAAGATTCGAATGAAACAACAACCCACACTAATAATAGTAAGGACACCATTCAATATACTCGATCAGTCATCATTCAAGAGACTTAAGGAAGGTAAGAGCAAACAATGCGCAACTATGAAGGAATACTATTGATTAGAAATCTCCATAACCAACAAAGATATGCAACATATAAACTATCTCAAAATGCTTATTCTAAAGCAGAACTCATCCAACAAAAGTAGGACAAACCCCACAATGGAACTCATGAACATACTCATCATGAACTCGAAAACCATAGCCAAAAGAAAGGCTCAACTCTCGAACTACCAGAAGTAGTATGAAAATAAGAAGTTTAGTTTTAAAATAATTCTATCAAGAAGCATATTTGAAAAAGAACGGTTTCTGCAAGATCAAAAGATCCAAGACAAGATGAAAACCCTCTTTGTTAAATCATACTTGACAGGAAAAATGGACACACCATTTAACAAAAATTCCTCATAGGAAAAAATCTCATTAGAGATAACAAAAATGACCACTCAAGGGTGCTTTAATTTTTGGCCATCCTACCCTATTTATAGGCTATGAATTTCGGCCAGCACCAAAAAAGAAGACCAACTAGGACCCTCTAGTCTTATCTCACGCAGGAGTAGAAGTAGAAGAGTATTTGATCTCTTTGACTCTATCAAAAATATAGGAAACCTTATCTAAATGACTTATCCTCAAATAGGATAATACTTAGAAGGAATCTAACACTCCTAATCAAAATACTCGATTTTAATTCAGTACACATGACTTATTTAACCAGATAAAATTAAAAAATTAAAATCCTAGACTTAGACAAACTCTAATCTCGAAAATCAGTTCCAAATATTGAAGTAAATGGAATATTGGTCTTGCGCCCCTCAAGTTGTAGGAGACTCCAATTTACTCCAAAACTTGTAGAATTCTCTTTATTGACTCCAAAAGATTGGAAAAACACTTGAAACAATTGAGATAGTTTGCAACCTATCAAATTGTGTAGCAATGGACTCAATCTTGAACACTTTGATCAAATAGGCCATCCATTCAAGAACCTAAATGACTCTTCTTTCTAGCTTGATTAATGATCTTCATGGAGCACCTAGTGTCAAACTCCTTTGATACTCTTGAGCACTTATTTCCATGAGTGAATCATCTCCTTTGGTTTGAACCCCAAAGTTAATGACATTCTCATCACCTTGATCATAGCTCTCTTGAACCAACTCCCTATCACATAGGTAGTCAAGATCCATCCTTTCTTCCTTGATTGGCCTGCAAAGTAAACTTGGCATTCTAAAACTAGAATGAAGGACTACCACATTCCTCTCACTAGGAGAATCACCATGGAAGGCTATATGATTCTCATCATCATAGCTTGAAACTGTACATGTTGGTTTACGGAGCCATAGGCATGTGTTTATTCACTCCATTTGGGCTTGAAGTGATTCATTATATACATTATAATTTTTACCGAGGTTTGGAGCCAATCCGATGGACGAGATGAGACTTGTCCATATGGGCCATTGGGATAGCTTCAAACCATACATGTGGGTTTACGGAGCCATAGGCATGTTTTTATTCAATCTATTAGCACTTGTAATCATTCATTATATATCTTATATGTTATGAAGGGTTTGGAGTCATTTTGTTGTACGAGATGAGACTTGTTTATATGGGCCATTAGGATTGCTTGAAATCGTACATGTGGGATTACAGAGCCATAGGGATATATTTTGTTCCCTGCATTTGGGCTTAAAATCATTCATTATATCACTTATAAATGCTGTCAAGGCTTGGAGCCAATCCGATGTACGAGATAAGACTTGTCCATATGGGCCGTTAGGATAGCTTGAAACCATACTTGTGGCTTTACGGAGCCATAGGCATGTGTTTGTTCAATCTATTTCTGCTGGTAATCATTCATTATATATCTTATATATTATACCTAGGTTTGGAGCCATTTTGATGTACGAGATGAGATATGTCCGTATGGGCCATTAGGATTGCTGAAAATAGTACATGTGGGATTAAAAAGCCATAGGCGTGTGTTTGTTTCCACCATTTGGGCTTGAAATCATTCATTACATCACTTTTAAATGTTGCTAAGGTTTAGAACCATTCCGATGTATGAGATGAGACTTGTCTGTATGGGCCATTAGGATACCTTGGAACCGTACACGTGGGTTTATGGAGCCATAGGATTGTGTTTTTTTCTCCAATTGGAATCATTCATTATATATCTTATAAGTTTTGCCAAGATTTGGAACCATTCCGATGTACGAGATGAGAGTTGTCCATATCGGCCATTAGGATGGGTTGAAACCGTACATGTGGGATTACAGAGCCATAGGCATGTGTTTGTTCCCTCTATTTGAGCTTAAAATCATTCATTATATCACTTATAAATGTTGCCAAGGTTTGGAGCTAATCCGATGTACAAGATGAGACTTGTCCATATAGGCCGTTAGGATAGCTGGAAACAATACATGTGGCTTTACGGAGCCATAGGCATGTGTTTGTTCAATCCATTTCCACTGGTAATCATTCATTATATATCTCATAACTTATGCCAAGATTTGGAGCCTTTTTGATGCACGAGATGAGACTTGTCCATATGGGCCATTAGGATTGTTTGAAACCGTTCATGTGGGATTACAGAGCCATAGGCATGTGTTTCATTTGGGCTTGAAATAATTCATTATATATCTTATAATTCAAACCAATGTTTGGAGCCATACCGATGTACGAGATGAGACTTGTCTATATGGGCCATTAGCATAGATTGAAACTGTACATGTGGGTTCACGGAGCCATAGGCATGTGTTTATTCACTCCATTTGGGCTTGAAGTCATTCATTATAATATCTTATAAGTTAGAGGAAGGTTTGGAGCCATTCCAATGTACGAGATGAGACTTGTCCATATGGGCCATTAGGATAGCTTGAAACCGTACATGTGAGTTTGAGGAGCAATAGGCATGTGTTTATTCCCTCAATCTGGGTTTGAAATCATTCATTATATCTTTTAAGTTCTACCAAGGTTTGGAGCCAATCCGATTTACGAGATGAGACTCGTCCATTTGGGCCATTTGGATAGCCTCAAACCATACATATGGGTTTACGGAGCCATAGACTTGTGTTTCTTCACTCCATTTGCGCTTGTGATCATTCACCATATATCTTATAAGTTATGCCAAGGTTTGTAGCCATTTCGATGTACGAGATGGGACTTGTCCTTATGGGCCATTAGGATTGCTTGAATTCGTAAATGCGGAATTACAGAGCCATAGTCATGTGTTTGCTCCCTCTATTTGGGCTTGAAGTCATTCACTATAATATCTTATAAGATATACCCAGGTTTGGAGCCATTCCAATGTACGAGATGACACTTGTCCATATAAGCCATTAGGATAGCTTGAAACCGTACGTCTAGGTTTGAGGAGTCATAGGCATGTGTTTATTCACTCTATTTGAGTTTCAAATCATTCTTTATATACCTTATAAGTTTTACCATGGTTTGGAGCCAATCCGATGTACGAGATTAAGTTGTCCATATGGGCCATTGGAATAGCTTCAATCCATACATGTGGGTTTACGGAGCCATAGACTTGTGTTTGTTCAATCCATTTGCGTTTATAATCATTCATTATATATCTTATAAGTTATGCAAGGGTTTGGAGGTATTTTGTTGTACGAAATGAGACTTGTTCATATGGGCCATTAGGATTGCTTGAAACCGTACATGTGGGATTATAGAACCATAGGCATTTGTTTGTTCCCTCCATTTGGGCTTAAAATAATTCATTATATCACTTATAAATGTTGCCAAGGTTTGGAGCCAATCCGATGTACGAGATGACACTTGTCCATATGAGCCGTTAGGATAGCTTGAAACCATACATGTGGCTTTACGGAGCCATACGCATGTGTTTGTTCAATCCATTTGTGCTGGTAAT